TTCTAATTCTATATAGTAACCCCTTAGAAATTTTTATAAATGTGCCCTAAAATGTTGCAAAAATCGGTGGATATGTTTCAAAAAAAATTTTAAGCCGATCATACTATATTAAGTATTAGTCATACATTACTCATGAGTACAAACGCTAGCATAATGTATGTATATATTATTGTATTTGATTTCTAAATATGGTGGCCAAATTTTGTACGCCAATATTAATATATTAGATTTTTTCGTCTACATATCTGATAAGAGCAGCCTTTCCAAAAAAGTATATACGGCACTCGTATGACAAAATTTTGATGCGTAATTACATCCATAAAATAGCCTCTTTCTAAAAAGAATACTCGCTCTAAAATAAAAATTTTCCATTAATATTACTATTACGCATATAGGTCGTGTTACCGTTGAATTTTACACACTGGTATTCATTTAAACAAAAGGTCTAATATTTTATTGTTTACCGATTAATATAAAAAAAACATGCGTATATTTTAATTAAATATTTTTATAAAATTTAAATTGAATGACCAAGTTTGTAAATATCTCTTTTACTCTTCTTTCTCCATTCATATAATAATAATAAAATGGCATCAAAAAATTCGAGGAATAGTACTTTTCATGCAAGTTTTCTTGATGGTTTAAGAGGTTTAGCTGCACTTTCAGTAGTTTATTCACATTCACAAACTACATTCAAACAAATTCTTCCTTATAATACATATAATATGATTGGTTTTGATGGCGTTCGATGTTTTTTTGTACTGTCAGCTTTTTTATTAACATTTCGTGCAATGTTAGAATGGGAAGCATACCTTGAAAAAAGAAATATTTCAAAGGAGAAAAAAGAGGTGGAAGAGATGGCGAATATTAACGGTAATGATAACGAAGAGAGTACTGGATCAAATACATCAAATCCATCATTAAATGATGACGACAAGAATAATTATAATGAGGTAGATTTTTTTTTTTTTAATATAAATAATAATGATAACGATAATAATTGCATAATCATAAAACGTTTTAAACAAATTACTTGTCACTCAATTTTTCAATCAATCAATCAATTAAAATATTTAGCAATATCATGAAAAAACTATAGAACTAGGTATTAAAGTAACGAAAAGTTTATCAACAAGGAAAAGAATGTTCTCGAAATTATGCGAAGATAATAATTTGATACCAATTAAAATATGGGCCAAATTTTTTCTACGCAGGTTTATGAGAGTATATCCACCTTATGCCATTCTTTTGATTTTAGTTACATATAATCAATTTATTGGCGAATCATATTTTCAAGCTATAACTCCTGATAACCTTGTTCCTCATCTTACCTTAAGTAAAGGCGAATTCATTTTTTGGTCAATACCACCTGAAATGATGGTGAATTATCAATTAATTATTTATTATTTATAATACATATCAAAAATTTAATTTTCTAACTTAAATATATATAGTTTTATTGTGTTATTCCAATAATTGTAATAGGATATGTAGGACTTGGTGATATAGGGAAAAAACTTATGAAAATCACTAGCTATAATGAAAAAAAAGGAGAATTTATTGGCCGGTTTATTGCCTTTTCTATAATAGTACTTGCACGTACAATCATTGCATTCAATCTTTATGGTAAAAATCCTTTACTGTTAGAGGGCACAGCTCATTATTTTTTAGCTGGATCATTAGGAGCTATATTATATAGAGAAGCTATTAGATTAAATTTATTACCAAAAAGTGAAGAGGATGAGAAAAAAGAAGATAACGAGAACAATGATGATGAAAATGATAACGAAATTCGAAGAAACCCTAAAAACAAAATATATTTATTAGCGTCATTAGTATATAATTATTTTTACAAAAAATTACCTACATTTCACACAATACTTCGTAAAGTATTTGATTTATCTTGTTATGTAATGTTTATAATAATTTTATGCACAATGCCAAGATTATCATCAAAAGTCTTGGGCTATTTATATAATCTTCAATTGGAATTGAATGCAGGAGGACTACTTTATTCAACCTTAATTCTACTTGGATTATTATCGCGTAATGAATCATTTGTGAATTTATTGTCATTGAACTATTTTCGCTTTTGTGGTAAAATTTCATTTAGTATCTATCTTTTGCATCCAATAGCTTTCAATCTAGTGAATAATTATATTAGTAATTATCTTACATTTATTGGTAATGTTGAAACACTCAAGGATGTAGATCAATCAGATGAATTTGAAAAAAATAATGATATTTTTGATTCGGTGATGTTAAGTTTTTTGGTTACAATAGTTTTATCATGGTTTTATTACCACTTGGTTGAATTACAGTCAATGAATTTGGCAAATTATATTGCAAAAAGATGGTTAAATATTAGCAAAAGAATGCGATGAAGGAACATAAATAAAGCGGGCAAAATAGAGGAAATAGTATTTATTAAAATTTATTTATTTTATGTATAAATATCTTTTTTTAAACTAGAATGATTTTTGATAATAAATAACAAAAATTTATTAATAATTAAAGTGATTGTAAAAAGTATTTTAAAATACTTTCAATGATAATATGGGGCGTACTGCAACAAAACCAGACAAAGTGAGTATTACCAAAAGATTTAGGGATCAATAATGTTTGCTTAACATCAAAATTGTGTTACAATGTAATGTGATCATGATGTTTGTCTAGACAAAAATAGTTAATATGAAGTTAATTTACATCAGATCTACTATGGAACCCAAGAATTATAGTACTATTAGTACTATTAGAAGTATTTTGAAGAAAGAACAAGGTGAAAAAATTGCATACCAAACAAAATCTAAACCATTTTATCTGAATTATGGCAATTTGGCATGACACATTAAAGTCATAAAAGTTGTAAACTGTAAAATCATAGAGCACAAATGCAATTTCAGGGACACTAACCCTGCTTTGAATTGCAAATTTCCTCCCTGTTCTTGAAACAAGTTGCAAATTCTTGTTGCCTTGATGGATCTGGATGTTTACATGGCACTACAATTCATCAATGGAATTGCGACTTAGTCACAGATCCATCCTTACCTAGAGGTAAGATCGTTGCAGACAACTTTTCAGCTAACATGCCAGCAGCCTTTTCTGGTCTGGGAAGATTGGTGAAAGTGTCATTTTGATGATTGATGCAGTCTTGGTAAACTCCAGGACATCTTTTTCACTCCCTGGAATTCAGTTTCATCATTGTATCATTAGGCGCAAGTCAGATCAGCCTTGTGTACATGAGGAACGTGTGAGAATGACTGTAAATGTTCAAGGTAGCATGTGTGCTTCAAGCATCTGCTAATTTCCGATAATCAATCATCACATATTGAAATGTTTCATATTTGAATTGTTTCTTCTGCAACAATCAGTCATGCCACCTTGACATCTTGTGATTATAATAATATAATAATAATATTATTAACAATTACGAAAAGCAAAATACCAATCGTTTACTATCTTGATGAGGATCTTATAATTACCCAGCAAGTTCTGCTCCATGTTTTGATCCCAATTAAAATATTTATAAACTAAAAGACACCACATTATATCAATTCAAATAAAAAAAAGTACCTCTGGTTAATTATTAGCATGTCTTCTTTAGGAAGCTCCCGTTTTTCAGCCAAAAAAAAAATCAATTGCATTAACAAAAAAAAACCAGTAGGGTTCCATACATAAATAATTAATGTGCACGTGTTTGTCGATCAAACAACAAAATTTTTTCTTTTTTCGTTTAAAAAGAAAAAAAAAATGAAAAATATGGTGCGGAGAAGAAGTAAAGTGTTTATCATAAGAATGATGGTGGTTGTCACCACTCATCGTCACTCTAGTTCTAGTTAAAGATCAACTGTTATTGCTTTTTATTAAATCATTGCTCTTTTCAAATTCTACTACCACTACCAACTGCTACTACTAGTAAGTATTTAAAAAAGAACTATATCAGTCAGACAGGATTTCACGCGATTGACATGTCTACTGTCATAGCTATGTAAAATTTTTGTGAAACATGTCAATTTTTACTATTAAAATCGAAGTTACTTTT